ACTTGCACATTTTGGAGTACGTGCGTTGGAGTCTTGCGTGGGGAGCTGCGTTGTGCCATCTTGCTCCCCCCTTCTTCCTCTATCTCCATCTCTGTCACTAGCGGAGCACCACACCTGGTGGGTCCGCTACAGGCAAATAGCAGCCCGACCATCGCGGCCCTGTTGGTCGCTGCTCGCCGCTCGCCGGCGGGGGGAGGGGGGGGTGGGGGGTAAATAGCTGGCACATCACTTCTTCAACAGTAGCGTGCCGCACTACTAACCCATACATACACTATGGTTAGTGTGTTATGGCAGCAGCTACGCACACGTATGGCTAGCAGCTGCCCAGGTTCAAACCCTGACAGCAACATGCATCCCGAATTGTGATATAAGTAATTCGAGAGCTCGGCGGGGCGGGGCAGCGTGGGCACGTGACGCGTGCGTGTGCGTCGGTCGTGGCCTTGGCGCTTGTGCACACGCGTCGTGACATCGTCTTTCTTTTCTCTCCATGTGTCACACCTTCGTTGCTGCACGTTTCGTCACCTTTTCTTGTTGCTTTCCGCTGAAAACGCCCGAAAAACACCCAAAAACCCGTTGTCGGGTTCTGTAGTATTTCATGTTGTGCAGTGTGGTGGGTGGAAGCGGAGAACGTTCCCGCTCTGATACCAATGTGGCGGACCCATCGGGTGAGGTGCTCCGCCTAGGATAGAGATGGAGATGGAGGATGAGGGTGGAGCAAGATGGCACAGCGCAACTCCCATGCAGACTCCAACGCACGTACTCCAAACTGTGCGAATGTAGAATGAATCCAAGTACAGACTCCGGCTGGGGTATACCCCAACGGACTGACAGGACTGAACTGGATTGGCTGGTACCAACAGAGGTACCGGTCAGAAGTGGCCTATCCTGAATACAACACATGCCTGTGGGAACAGGCCAATCACAGGTCCGCTACACTCACACTATTATATACTTCATCATCAACTACTTCAGGATGTCAGCGTTTTGCTGCTCTGCTTCAACATCTATCTGCATTCCTACTTCAGACGTTATCGAATACTTCGACGATTTCAGCGACTTCCTCAACTTACTTTACTTTGGACGTGACTCCTTTATGCCACCACCCTACCTTGTACATTCCTCTTTTGTATCACATGATGATTCTCCCTTAGCTGGTTCTCCCAGAGTTAGACTCTTCCTTGGTATCACATAGGCATTTGGATCATTGCATTATCGTGGTTTCCCAACTCCTAGATCTACCTCCCTCTCAGTCGTTGACTTGTCTGCATACTTCACCTACGACTCTCATCACCTTAGTAGTGGCGGTCATTACATAACTTTAGTTAGGCATATCCACCTTGTTCCAGACCCCCCTTTTCATGATCGAACCTGCATGGTGTCACCCTTTTGTCGAGCAATACCGGTCTTGAACTTGAAGGTCTATCTGTTAGGGTCATTAGTTTTGTTTCTCTATCACTCCCTGAGCCTGATGACCTATCCCACCTTTATGTGTGACAGTCGCTAGGGGGTTTCAATTCTTAGGCTACATTCACCCCCTTTGAGATCATCTCACTCTTAGTTCTGAGTTGTGCTATATTGTTTTTTTTTGTGCTATATTGTTTTTTTTTCTTTCAGCACTGAGGCAATTGCCTCTAGGACTTTAAGATTGTATCATGCGACATTTCATTTTTTGTTGTTAGTTAGGATGTGTTTGTCAGACATTTGTTTTTCTTTATGACACTACGTAGCTTAACCTGCATCGCATAGACTCCGAGTTCGGATGGAGTTCGCTCCGCGTTCTAGATTTATAAGTCTTATTGTGGCAGAGTCCCGCTACGTTTGCGGAAGCGTGTTTATGACTTTTGCGATCCACTACAAGTCTGAGGATTGTACAACGGGCATCTATCTGCTCTGGCCTACAACCAGTTTTATTTGAATATTTGCTTGTTTGGCCGATGAGACCAAGTTGTGGCCTAACCTCACAGGTCATGTGTTCATTCAACCCAGTTCAGCCCGATACCACCGTCCGTATCAGTCCAATCACTCCTTTTGAGGTATACTAACCCAACTGTGGCCTGTATTTTCAAGGATTCCTCATTTGCATTGTTTAGAGAATGTGCGTGTCAAGTCTGCATCAGGCCTGCACTGTCCCTTCCAGGATCCAACTCCATCGTCATCTCCCTCATCCTCACCCCTTCGTCTTCATTCTGGCGGACTGCCATCTCAACGGGTTCGTCAAATTTTAGAATTCTCAAGCTGGATGTTTAGGCCTTTACTAACATTGTAAGGTCGCCAACAAATAAAGATGTGATTGATACCACGTGGGGCAAACTCTCCAAAATGTTAATTTCTTCTATATACGGATTTACCCTTATCATGTCAGTGGGCGATTCGTGGTCAGTGCCTCCATCACTAAGTCAAAAAGGAGTGGGGCAAATGGTCTCCTCACCTTACCGATCTATGCAATACAAAAAGAGGTGAAGTGACCGTTTAGTACCATTATGTTGGTAGCCACCGATCTATGTATTATGGACACTTAAACTCTTAACGATTCCCCAAAGTTTATTTGAGTTCAAGTTGAACTTTAATGTATGGACTTTCAATCTAATGATCGTATGATCGTATGCCTTTTTAAGTCTATGGGGCTCGTTAGACATTTCTCTGCGCGTCCTCGGGCTCCGAGGGGAAATCCTCGGGGCAGCCCGAGGAATTTCCCGCTTTCGTTCCACTGCTCTCTTGGGACGACGCCCGAGGATGCTCCGAGGACTGGCCGCGGGGAGACGTATAATTTCATACGCGGCCACTGGACGAAAGTTTGGGCGGTGGTCCATCGTCCGACGTCCGTGCAAGCGGCCTTGGTCCACCGCGTTCGGCCTTTGAATTCGAAAAGGGACTGTCGCCGCCTCAATGAGGAAAAAAATCCGCGCGTGCGCGTGCACTTTCAAAATTCAAATTTCGAATCGGTCGACCATGCCGTGCGGTGTGGTTCCGCGGGGACATGCGGGTACCTTGGGGCGACCCCATGGGGGACTCTGGGGGGGGTTGCAGTGGGCGTCACGCGAGGGAGCCGCTAGCCGTTGTGGCGTCATCGCAATGTTCCACACGTATTTGAAGAGATGCCTCTCCGTGTCCCTCCGTCGACGGTGGTGAGCGTCTCGTTCCGCCTTGCTCGTTCGTCTTTACACACTGCTGCACGGCCGCCATCTCCGCCAACTTGCTCGTGGGCAGTGTCCATTGTTGGGGGTGTCCGGTCGAGTGTTGGGCGAGTTCACTCCGCGAGGATGAGTGCGATGTCTGAGGTATCCATGTGCGTGGAGTGGGTGATGGGGATGACGTCGGGGCCGGGTTGTCCGCTGTGGAGAGGGTTGCCGTGACGTCTGCCATAGCCGCCGTCATCATGCATTGCGACATGGAGGTCGAAGGTCAACGGCGGTGGGCACGACTACGTACCCCTGAGAAGGAAGTTGATGTCGGCGGCGACGACTGAAACGTTGGATAGCGCTGCCATCTGTGATGCCGTGTTGGAGGTGTGTTGTGCACTGGGATGTGGGGGACTACGAGGGCGACGTCGAGGTGGTGGGTAAAAAGGAGGACGGGGGGGACTTGGGAGGATCTTCGGCCTGCGGACGACGCCACTGACGATTACTTCCGCGACAAGTTACAGATGTTTCCACGTGTCTTCCGCGAGATCGTTGAGAACTTGTCGCCGATTCTCCAGCGACGTGTGACATTCTATAGGGAACCGTTGCAACCAGACCAGATCGTCGCCTACGCGCTGTACAGGTGGGCGTTGGGCGAGACATACGAGAGCAACAGCTACAACTTTGGGATTGGCAGGGCTTCAGGTTTGGTGGCCGTCCGGGACGTTACTGCTGCGCTACTTTCGATGTACAGGGAGAAGGTGGCGTGGCCGACTGGGGTGCGGAAGGCGATCGTTCTGCGTGCTTTTGCAGACAAGGGTTTCCCGAACTGCCATGGGTGCATCGACTTCACCCATATCTACGTGGACAAGCCGGCGAATGCACCTGCAGAAGACTACTACGATCGCAAGAGACGCTTCTCTGTCGTTGCTCAAGTGGTGGTCGACTTGGACTTGCGCATCCTGGACGTGTTTGTGGGATATCCGGGGAGTTGCCACGACGTCCGGATCATCCATCTCTCCACTCTATGGTCGCAGGCGGCGGCAGGAGAGTTGTTTACAGGGCCTCCTGTGCTGCTACCGTTCCAAGTGAAGACGAATGGTTATTTGTTGGCCGACAATGGTTACCCGCCGAGCGAATGGATGGTTGTCCCGTTTGACGGCGTGACGCAGCATCCCCTGGAGAGTCGTTTCGACAGCAAGCAAAAGACCGTGAGGGGGGTAGTGGAGAGGGCCTTCGGGAGACTGAAAGGAATGTGGCGCTTGTTCCTAGGCTCGCACAAGACCAACATGGAGACCTTGCCCCAGCAGTTCGTGGCCATCTGCATCTTGCACAACATCCTAATCGACGCCGACATCCCTTTCGACGAGAACTTGTTGTGGGAGGTTGACGCCAACGGAGTTCGCCGTCGGGTGGATCTCGGGATCCATCGCCCCCCCAGGCCGTTGTGCATGGAAACTTCTACGGGGGAGGCGATCATGCTGCGGCAGGCGCTGGCAGAGCGAATGATGCGGCGATGACGGCAGAGGGACCTCGCGAGGCAGGGGGAGTTGCGGGCCGTGTATGATGGAGGAACGTTTGACGACGGCGGTGGGAGGAAGCAGTGTGCGGAGAGACAACGGGCGCAGTACATGTGCCATGCCGTCCAATTTTCGGTCAGCGGTGAGGGACGCAGAGCGGAGAGCGACAGTCATGCCTCGTAGTCCTCGCGCCATATGCCGTCCGTTTTAGAGTTTGTCGGAAGTTTTTCCTTTTCGTTTTTCGATCCGCGGCTTCGGGCTGGTGCATTGATAGTGGGGCGTTCCCTGTTAGTGTGGGCAAGTCGTTGGGCGGCGGAAGCGGTGGCGGTGGCCAGTTAGTGTGATTAGTAAACGGCATTGAGATGGAGTTGTTGTCTGTCGTGAGCAGCAGTCGTGTGCATCTCTCTTGGGCTCCTTCGGGACGTTCTACGAAGAGCAATCATGTCAGCAGTGTGTTTTTATAATTCGCAAGAGTTTGGTGATTGTTGGGTTGTGATCGGAAAGTGTTGTTCGTTGTCGGCGACTGTTTTCCTTCCTCTCCTACGCACTCCCTGCTGCATGGATGGAATGCTGACGTGTGAAAGAAAGAAGTTTGCGAGCGCAATCAAATGGTGTTTACATGTGTTCATATAGACAAATGGAATTCATGAAGACGCAGGAAAAGAGTTTTGTGTCTGCCTTCATTCGTCTGCCTCTTCGTCGTAGGGTTGCCAGTGTTTGGTATATGAGTGCGTGTTGTGATAAAATACAACGATATGCAAATGACAATGATCAATGGTCATCGCAGATTTATGTTCACAAACAATTCCGAAAACAAGTGAAGCATAAAAAAAATAAAAAATAAAGTCCAAATAAAACAAACAAAAAACAAATAGAAATAAAATAAACAATATACAAAGGAAGGGAAGGATCGATCGGTTTGTGTTCGGGAAGCATGTCAACACAAAAGAAAGGAAGTATCAAGCCGGGCTGAAGAGAAGGAAAGTAGAACAGCACGTTTCCAAATTATAAAGCACACAACACTGTACATAAACATCAAAAAGATTTTCCATGCCGCACCAGCGGCGTGCCAAAAACGGTGGTCCACTAAAAAAAGCTACACTGCACTGGGTTGCTGAAAGCCCGCGGGATCTGGCGACGACGTGTATGAGCACCGGTCCTCACAGTAGACGACCACCGAACATGGCCGTCTGCGCCATCATCATCATCGGCATCATCATCATCGGCATCATCATCACCATCATCATCATCATCGGCATCATCATCATCGTCGTCATCATCAACATCATCATCATCATCATCATTGTCATCATCATCATCATCATCATCATCGTCATCATCATCCTCATCATCATCATCGTCATCGTCATCGTCATCATCGTCGTCGTCGTCTTTGTCGTCGTCGTCATCATCATCATTATCATCATCATCATCATCATCATCATCATCATCATCATCATCATCATCATCATCATCATCATCATCATCATCGTCGTCGTCGTCGTCTTCATCGTCATCACCATCTTCGTTATTGTCGTCATCGTCGTCGTCGTCGTCAGCACCATCATCATCATTGGCGGCGCCGTCTTCATCATCAGCATCGTTGGTCTGAAGACTCTGAACATCGCCGCCTTCGTCATCATCGTCGCCATCATCATCATCGTCGCCATCATCATCACCATCATCCGCATCACCGTCGTCGCCGCATGCAGTCCGCGACCAGCGTTCACGCCTCCCCCTCGTCTGCCTTCTCCTCCTCTTCGTCGTCGATCTCGGGTGATCCGGTGCCCATCCAATCCAGTCTCCTGGCGAGATCGGGAGACGCCAACGTCGCGTCGTTGTTGAAAGTCACCCCACAAGAAACCCAGTCGGGGATGTACAAAGGAGAGTCCACCAACGTCATTGGGGGCTTTCCCATTTTCTCCGTCACGGCGTTCACGCACTGCAGAACATGGCGYCGCGCGTCGAAMGAGCGATGAAGCGACGCAATGAGTGTCGGTTTCGCGACTACCTCCATCAGATGGGAGGCCTCGTAGTGAGAGCGCAGATTATCACCCGCCATCCGCATGATCCACATGGCGGCAGACAGCAACAGGCGCATGCAGTCCGCGACGTTCCTCAACCTCTCATACGAAATCCGCCCGCCGTCCACCCCCTCCCCCACGTCAACAGCATTAGTGAAAGCTCCAACGAGACGCTGCGTTGTGGACTCTTGATACGACGCCATCTCGTCGTCCTCGTGCCTGTCGTGTATGATGCCACCAACGTACCATATGGGGAGCTTTATACGAGCCTCCAAAGTGTTGTGGATGACGGCGGGACTGACGCAAACACGCCAGTCCTCTCCCAACCAGATGGCGCGGCCCAGGTCTGTGGCCACGTGGTTGAGCACATACCCGTACGCGCAGTGATAACCGCGTGCGCGATTGGGGGACTTGAAGAGCCACCCGTGGATGATGCGCAACGCTATCGTCTGCACCCTCCCAGCCCTCTCCTTGGCGGCCTGCAGCTCGGACTCGTCTTCCATCTTCTGCAGAGGGATCGTGGATTTAGGCAGCACGATGCTTTTTCTGATCTCCGGCGGCTTCACACCCTTCGCGATGGCCAGGAGGTGCAGGCGAGTTTCCTGTATCATCTTCACCAGCCCATGCCCCTCCGTCTCGTTCCAGAAACGATGATCGTCGACCCACAGCCGTGCTTTCGTCTCCAGAGCCGCCACGCCTCCCATTCGCCTTTGCCTGTTGATGAGAGGATCGTCGTCATCATCACCATCACGACCGTCACCACCGCCTCCTCCCGCTCCCCCCGTCGACGTGCCCGCAATGGCACCCGCCGCCGCGACATCCTTCGGCCCGCTGCGCGCGGGGGTCTGGGGCCTGCTTGCTGCAGTCACCGCCACCCCCTCCTCCCTTCTCGCCTGTCCCGCTGCTGGCGTCGCCTGGGTCGACGACGCCCGCAATGGCTGCTATCTGCCAATGTCATGCGCCGCAGGGACGTCCCTTGCTTGCACAGGGTTGCGCATCGTCGGGGTCAATTGGCGCCCCCGGTCGTCCCTGCCACCACCAGCGGATGCCACGTCGCCCCCTGCGTCGTTGTCACCACGCGCGACGTTCAAGCCTCCCCCTTCGATGCCGTCTTTCCCCCCTTCATCTCCGCTGATTATTCACGAGGCGGTTTGTTCGCGCGAGCACCCTTTGACACCATGAAACGTGTCCGCCTCCGATTCGAAATCGTCGTCCTCGTCGTTGCTGCCCTCCATGATCCACTCTTCCCGCGCGGCCCTGCCAATTACCAGGGCGCCGCCGCCTGATGCCTTCGCCTTCTTCGCCTGATGCCTCCCCCGCTTTACGACGGTAGCAGTTTCGCCCTGATTATACTCCCTCCCCCTTTTCCCCTTCGCTGCGTTGCACGTATTCGTCATAGCTGTGAAGACGAGCGACGTCGATGGCGGACGGCTGGTGGAGGAGACTGCTGAGGGCCGCACAACCTGCCGCTATCTGCGTGTGATTGAACAGACGCTAGACGCGCGAACGGCGCGTATCTCACGGCGACACTGACGACCCGGCTGCCACGCGCTCGCCTCAACGCCGCCTTGTCGAACAGCAACGAAGACGTGCGCTGCGCAAGTTTGAACGACAACACCATGTCTAAGCGAATTCGGCGACGAAGACGACGTCCGGAGAGAAGGAGGTGTGTCGACGAGGTGTCCAGGCGCAGTTCGCGACGATGACCGACACGGCGTTCGACTGAAAGGAAGCAGGCATGTCGCCTGGCCCAGCGCGCTGTCGACTGCCCTGCAATGCGTCGTGCAAAAACACCGCTATGACTGCATGGACTGGACTGCTGTGTTCTGTGATCGGTGGATGGGCGCCCGCGAAGTTTATAACGCGAAGGCGCACGTGTCGAAGGCACCGTTCGGCGGTACAGAAGAGGGGCCGTCTACTGGTCGGTGATGCAGTCGCGGGTGGGGGCAGGCCGAAGGGGATGCCTTCGCGGGATCAACGCGTTCGCATCCCGCTGTCCCTCACACGTGCTGTCATTGAGCAGTATCCCCTGAAACACACCCCCGCAGCGACGAACCCCCTCGCCATCACATGAAGGCGGAACGCCGAAATAAAAAAAAAACTTGCCACCCCCTACCACCCAGCCCATTGGAGCCTCACAGACAGGCATGCACAAGGACGTCTGCATTGGAAGGCGGCCTTTGAATGCCATGCCGCATATAGTGTTGGCCAAAGAAAGGAGGTCGTTTCAGTACACAGATGTTCGTCGCAAGAACGCAAACATGAAGCAACATAAAACAGAAAAATTTAACAAAAAAGAAAAAAATACCAAAAAAAAAAAAAAAAACAAGATATCCTCAACACACTACCACGAATTGATCCAAAGGACCTATACCAAAAAAATATCTCTCTCTCTTCCTCTCTCTCTCTCTCTCC